TTTAGTAAATCCAAATCTCTGGGCCTGGCATTGTAGCTCAGGGTTGACAACTTGTCTCTTTGATAATGATGAGAATGATCATAATACCAGTTGTGAGAAACTGGGCAAGTTACTTTTCTGTTGCATTTCCTCATCTATAAAATCTGAATAATAGTACCTACCTCATAGGGTTCTTGTGAAGTTAAATGAGTTAATAACATTTAAGAACTTTGGATAGAGATTTGCACCTTGTAAATATTAGCTATTACTATTATTGAGTAATAATAATTTTCTGCCTCAGATATTTCCTTTAGAACCTGGATATCTGAAACAAAGAAAAGGCAGAAATATGAGGATTAACGAAAACTGAAAAGCTCTATGAGAGTGTGCAACATGTGTCGGGTATCAGTACTTTGAAGTTATGTTTTTTAGTTGTCTGAGGTGCTAAATTACCTGAAAAGCTGGATTGGAACGTTTTCAAGAGGAGATAAAGGCACTTACTTTTAGGCTTCTGCTACGTGACCATAGGCAAGCTAAGTAAAATCTTGCAATCATACCTACCCAGGCAGTGGTTTTTGTAAATCTCAATAGTTAAGTTGGCAGGGGTTAATAGTTGAGACAGTTCTTTGAAATATCCAGGTGTCACAAAAAAATGGTAGTAATTCAAGACTCAGGTCCAACTTTAGCCATTGTCTTAAGGAGATGATGAGGGTAATGATAACAAGCAACTCTGAGTTTTTCACAGATGAAATGATTTTGATTTAAATTTCTAGAATGCTGTTATAATTTTCTTTCCTTCCCTTTTTCTCTTCCTCTTTCCTCTCAAGTAACCACTTTTAACAATTTGGCATATATCTTTTGAGTCCTTTTTGTGTATATTTACACACACACACACACACACTCACACATACACACAGTTTTGTTGGTGGAGTTAAAAAAATTTTATTCAGGTGGGTTACTTAAATTACTTGAGTTTCCTTCTAAATTATTTTTTGCACTTAAAACATATCTTTATTTTCCATGCCAATATAGAGATTGATCTCTTTTGAATTGTTGCTTATTGTTGCATTATATGGGTGCACCAAGTTTTACTTATCCATTCACCACTCAATGGAATTGGGGTTACTTTACATTTTCTTCTCTTACAATGCTCCCAAAGCCTTCTCTGGGCACATGCGGTCTTTTTGTCATAAGGTACATTTAAAAATAACTTGCTGAAACCGTTTTTACACTTCGATTTCATTCTGAAATTTACCAGTCCCTATTGGGCCTTGGTGAGTTTGATCCTTTGGATAACATTTTATTGCTGGTTAAAACCATTACCCATCATCTAAAAAAAAAATATGGCCAGATAATGGTGATGGCCCCAGAAACATGAATTGTGCATCTCAGTAAGATGTTCCCTACTCTTAAGACCCATTACAAGCACCAGAGTGAGAATGGTGACCAAAACATTTTTAAAAAATACCTAGGATTTCAGAGGTAACTTCCTTCAGCTGTGTAGCCTGGCAACATTTTGTACCATTGTAAAACTACCTCTTTCATAAGCACCAGTACCCTTTATTTTTATTTAAATTGTATGTTAAGTAGACTTTGCTAGCAAGTCTGTAGCTGAGTTCATCTCCACAAAGTGCTCATCCTCAGGACTGTGGTTAGCCTCTGTGCAGCCTGTACACTTCACATTGTTTAGTAAAACACTTCTATTTTAAAAAGCATGAGGCCCAGATCTGCTGAGTCAGATGTGATGTTATCTTCCACTGCACAAGCTCTACCACAGGATGTGGGGAGCTTATTATCTGACACAAATCTGTCGGAACTCCTCCACTGTCACCTGACCACGCACCATGGAGCTAGAGTAGTTCAAAGACTGTCTATTTAGTAAGTGGCTTCATCCTCTGGGACAGTGCCACTCAATGTAGCTAGCCTGTGAACCCCTTTTCCTGGTCCAGAATGGGAGAAAGCACTTGCTCCAGAATGTAAAATCAACACAATTTCTTTCATTCAGAGAGAGTCTTGCTATGAAAAAATATTGACTGAACTAAGCAGTGGGCAGCATGATATAACTCATTTACATTCTGTTGCAGCTCCACTCGTGACCTTGCACGCTGACTTGAGAGCTATGTTTTGAGTACCACTAAGCTGCTTTATGAAATTGAATGAATAAATGAATGAATGAATGAGACATACCTAAGATGGATTTAATGGCTTTTCAGGGTGAGATGGGAGGATGGAGAGCAGTATGGTGATTAAAGAAAACTCTTTCTGTGGGACAGCGTTCCTTGCCTGCTTTTCAGTTGCCACAGAGAGGGAAGGTTCTTTAAGGCCCAAATAGCCTACCTGGTCACCGTTTCCTGTACCATTCATTATCAAGAAGTCCCTGTCAAATGCAGTTTCCCTCCTGCTTTTCTTTTGCCCTTATTCCTGTTATCTCCTTTCCCATCATTCTAGCATGGGATTTAAAGAAAGAAAAACAATATATGGATGGTCATTGTATAGTTTTGGTTTCACATAGCATTGTATGTAACTCACCGTAACTGGGTGAGAAAGGTATTACTGTCTACATTGTAAATGCTCAGAGAGACTCAGCAACTTTTCAGGTCTCACATGTAATAAAGTGGCAGGAGCCAAACCCTGATGTTTGGTTCTTTCCCAAGTGGTTTGGTCTCCTACTATCACATCTAAGGAAGTGCTAAGAGAATCAACGTCCTTTGTCCATAGTGACATATTAATATTCCATTTTAGAACTGTTTTTACAAACTTCATAGTCTCAGAGTGACAGTCCTGCCACACTGCCCACTCCTCCATATCTGCATTATAAACTTGTGTGTTCCTATGGGTTATGAATGTCTTCCCATTATCATTGTTCTGTCCTTCACAATACTGTATGAGGCTCTGAAAGCAACATATATGATGGTTGTTGGATACAATGTTAGCCTGTAAACTTCATTACGTGTCTATGATAAATATTAGATGAATGAGACTGCAGGAGACTCAAACACCTATGCTTTTAATATGTTGTGGGATGAAATCTACTGAGCATGTGTGTCATTCAATAAAACAGCAGAGTGAGGAAAAAGGCATCAGACAGTCCATCCTCCTGAGATACAATCTTCAGCATTCCTGGATTACGGCTTTTGGAACTTCTAACTAGTCTGCAGCCTCCTTGAAGACAAGAACTGAGTCTGTTGTTTCTCTGGTGCCTCGAACATTCCCTGGCCTATTGTTCCTGCCACTTGAAAAATGTGTGAAATTACTGAATGTGCTAAGTTCTCAGCATTTTTTCAGACTGTTGTTACTACTGCTGCTCACTGTTGACCCCTGTATGGTTCTTAGATTGCAACCTGTATTGGTCTTCTGCTTCTGGGTTTCCTGGTCCTGATCCAACATTTTTTTCTTCCTTTTCCATCTCTGCAGCTCCTGCTTTGCATCAGGCACAATTCGATGATTAGAAGCATAGCTGGGAGGAAGGTGAGAGTTGTGGGAATAGTGGGCAGTTGTTTGTTCTGAGCATATCTCCATAAGGGAGATGTGACAGTTGTTAGAACTAAGGTGAAATGACGTATGAGGAAGAAACACAAAAAGCAAGGCCATAAACCTATAGAGAAGGTAATCAATGGGTAGCACTGATGGCTCAGGCCCCATCCAGGCCGGCCTACAGGTGTGTATCACATTCTCCTGATTAATCCAATGGATAAATTATACCTTTGAGCCAATTATACCTCTGATATTCCTAAGGACAGAGTGGTTCTTCCTTTGGGCAGAGTCAGGCCCTCTGTAAGCATCAAATTGTAACATGTAAGAAATGTTGTCTTGTCTGCCAGGGAAGCTCATTAAAGATTCAGTGTCCACTCTTTTATTGGAGGCTGGTCATGTAGGTTCCCTTTGCCAGACACATTCCCAAGTCCAGACTTACTGAAGGAAAGCAGAGGTTCAGCGTAAGCCACACTGACTGTACGGTTTAGGCACACTGGGCCTCTATTATCACTTAGGGAATGTGGGAACCCTCCTGAAATCCAAGTCCCCAGATGTTAGCCAAAAGGTGTCTTGCAAGCAGTCCTTGGTAAGGATAGCAATCTGAGGTCTACTGTATTAACTCCTTTTTTTCACACCACTCCAGCTTCAGATTTTTCTGTGGAGTTGGCTAAGGTGCCAGACCTACATAGGATGCAGGGGCAGTGGTCCCATCATTATCTCTACTTAATCCACCACTCTGGCTCCTGCAAAATTTAGACAGCTCCTGCAGGATGACAGTGGACTAGGGCAAATTCAACCAGAGTAGCCCTGTCTTCAGCTGCTGTGCCACATGTGATATCTTTGCCACAGCAGGTTAATGTGGCTATGGGGATACGGTATCAATCTACTGATCTAGTGGGTGTATGCTTTTCTATCCCTGTAAGCAAACAGGATCAGAAACAATTCACATTCACATGGAATTAACAATAAGCTATGTTAACTCCCTTGTATTTGTTATAATTGAAAGAGACCTTGACCAGGTAGACATTCTACAGAAAAGAACTAAGCTTACTATAATGATGGAATCTATCAATCCAATGGGATGAGCACAATGGGACTGGTAAATCTGAGGCCTTAATAAAGTGTTCTAGAGGGTGAAGATAAAACCTGTGAAATTCAGGGGCCAACTTGTCAGTAAAACTCTCGAAGAGGAGTGTCCAGTGATCAGGGGCATGCTAGGAGATTCCTTCTGAAGTAAAAGACAAATTATTACAATCTGTATCTCCCACTCTGAAGAAGGAAACATAGTGCCTACAGGCCTCTCTGGCTTCTAAAGGCAGCATACTTCACATCTAAGAATACTGCTCTCAGCTATAGATCTGGGTGATATGAAAGGCTGCCATTTTTGAGTGAGGCTCAATGCAGGAAGGGAAGGTCTATATGGTGGTGAAAGCAAGCCTGCCACTTGAGTCATTTAACCTAGTAGGTCCATTATACTAGCATTATTGGTTGAGGGAAACAATATGAAAGAACTTAAAGCAAAACCACTGTATACATACTCTTCATTTTTTTTTTTTGCTCATTTTATTGAACAACTGTATACAAACCACACAGAGCACATTACTGGAGAAAATATTGTATTTCTCAAATATATAATGGATTCTTCCATTCTCAGTTATTTCTATAATAATTTTACCTTTTTATTAACACTAAAAATATACTTTAATACATTTCAATTTTTCTCAAGTTAAAGACTATGGTGTAATTGTGGTTGGTTATATTTAGCAACCAATTCTATTTCCAGAGATTTAAACTTGATATGGAGAAAAGTGCCATATCAAGAAAAGTCCTTCGTACCTGATTTGGTGCTGAGATTGCACTGGTGGATTGGTTTGTTCCAGGATCCAGAGACCACTACAAGTTTTAAAGCAAAATGAGACTCCTGGGTTGGCCTTGGCTGCTTGAAGAACTTTGGATGGGGGAAGGTTGGTTTTGCTTTGCACAGAACAGTTTTTCCCCAGGCTAGGCTGGAATCTCTGGAACTGAGGACTGAGGTATTTACTGTATTCAGGCATTTGTTTGGGGTGGCAGGTGAGGAGGACCCTATTTCTTATATCAGATTTCAACTGATAATCATTTTTCCATAAGAATTAAGAGGAAATGGGTAGTTCCAGGTCCTTGACGATATCAATATTTTTGCCCCCAGTTACCAATTTCTCAGTTGTACTACTAATAATGAAAAAGAACAGAAGGACTGAGCTCACTGTGAACACAAGCTGTAAACATGACTGTGGCAGCTGTAATAGTGGCGGAGACTGGGACTTGACTCTAGGAATGGTCTCCGGGACTTGCTTTTTCGAAGCAGCCAGTAGGGAGCTAATATTTGGATATACTGTGTTTGGATTTATCCTCTTACTTTTCTCCATTGTCTGCTGACTTTAATTTTTATACTCAAAAATAGGGTGAGGGAAAAAGTCTCCATCTCTATCACAGTATCTTCATAAAACCTAGTATCATATCCAAACCCAAACTTCCCATTAGAATGTCCATTATGAATTCAAAATTACATAACTAAAATAAATAATTGGTAGCTAATGACAGTTTTTGTAAGGTGGTAGAAAGATATGACCTCAGTGATTTTTTTCTTAGCATAATGCTTCTCTCTCAAGTGTGAGTAAAATCCCATTTAGAGGGAAGGTCTGGAATCCTACGTAAAAATATAGCATGCATTAACATAGAAAATTCTTAAATGCAAAGAAAATTCAAGTGATCATATCTTTGCTGATATTAATATAACACAAAATTTCAATGACCATTTTAGCACAAAATGCATTTTCAGTTAACACACTGAAACAACTGATACTCAAATTCTATTATAACATAGGCATCTGAATGAGGTTCACATATGTACATGTACATCAAAGTAGAATTTGGCTTTGGGCTACTAATTTTTATTCTAACCCACAGTATTTATAACACTTAATTTCAGTTGTTCTTTAATTTTAATTTATTTTATTTTATGTATTTTTTTTCACTTGTTTTTTAATAAGAAATTAGGAGAAAAGCTAAATTTCTGACACTTGGATCAATCAGAAAATAGCAATGAGTTATCTTTTATATATTCAGTAAGAAGCTATTCGAGAGCTGCTATTTTACTTGCCTATTTCTCCAAATAAAAGCCCTTGGACACTAATCTACATTCCTAATTAAGGAAAATATTCTAACTCTTTCTCCAATTTCTCTCTCAATGGGAAGAGCCACAATCATTTTTTAAATGGTTTCTTCTATACTTTATATTTTTAAAAATATAAGCAAGATTACTTTGTAAAATATAAAGTGGCATTAAAAATATTCAGCTGGTACTGGCATTCAGATTTTGAAGATACATCTTTATGATGAACTAGCAGCCATTAAACAAAATGTTCAGAAGAACTGTCAGCAACTAGCCATTTAAAAACCAGATTTATGACTTTTTTTTGCTTGTTTCAAGCTATGCTGGCTTCCATCAGAGTGCTCCTAGTGCGGAGGAATGACGTGCTGAGGAGGAGTGATGCACTGAAAAGCTGAGGCCTCATCAGGGAGCATCTTTACTCAGCTCTGAACCATTTTAAAAGCCAATAGATCTGCACCATATACTATTCGGAGGCTCAGTACCATGGGATGCCTCATAAAAAGATCTTTTGGTATTATTGTTATCAAAAGTACCCTGGATTGGATCTAAGATAAACATGAGTTATAAACGAATTCTGCTTTATAGTAAAATCCAGGTATAAAGTATAAGTCAACATACTTACCAAAGCATACATAATAAGTAAAGCCAAAAATGTTCAAAAATTTGTGAAGCCAAAAATCTGATGCTGCTAAGTAAGTGTCTAGTTCCTTATAACACCACTAAATGTGGCTAATCTGATACCATTTCCTTAGTCCTGCAGAATTTTTTAAATCATTTGACATCTTAGAGTACTACCTGGCACTAGTTTTGGTCTATAAAAAACACAATTGTCATGAGCCACACAAAAACATGATAACTAGCACATTCCTGCACATCTGCACATCTTCAAAGAACTCTTCAAAGAACTATAATGCAGAAGTGGTGCTGCAAAGGATCCAAAGCAGCACTTGAAATAATGGATACTATTTAATGATACGGTAAATAAGAATTATTTGCTAAAAAGCTGTACCAATGTTAATTTTAGGTAAAATATGAAATTGTTTCATGAAATACAGTCCCGTTCTATGCTCTCCTGACAATACTCCCAACAGAAAGCTTCCAGTCTATTTGCTGTTGCTTGGCTGATGAGACATTCATCCTTTAGTTCCCTGATTGTCTTCCTCAGTGATTTTTGGAAACTTTTTTCTCGGTCTAAAACATTCCGCAGACTTTCCTTGGTATCCTCTAGCTCGCTGATCACATGATCTAATTTATGCTTAAGTTTCTTTGGACTGTCCATTACACTGTAGCTATGTTCCTAAAAATATAAACACCAAGTTATTAAACCAGACAAATAGTTAGATAAAAGTTTATAATTAGGCCTCAGCTGTTTCTCCATTTATGATGCTTAGAGAAGATCTTTCAGTTGGTGATACCTGGAGGTTTAAAGAAGATGGGAAGAGGATGGGGTGGAAGCCCTATTTTGAATGCCTATGGCCTCCTTCCTTTGTCTAAGGCTAGGCACACATAAGGAACGCAGAACCCTTTTACACTTCTTATGAGGGGTAGGTAACTGCTATGAACACTGGAATACTTGTAATGACTATCTAGGTTTCATTCCCTCTGTGTGGGGCTGCTAAATATAAGTTTTAACTATCAAACACACATAAGTTGTTAAACCTTTAGCTGAGTTACTTTATACTGATGAATAGTTCACTTTAAAACAGATGTTAAGAAAGGGGAACTGGAGCCAGGTCCTCAGGCTGGGTGTTATGGATTTTGAGAGGATTCAGGTCTTGGGTTTTTAGAGAGGTAACTTAAGCTCTCTCAATATTTATTACGGTTATGCTTAAGTTTTCTGGGTATACCTTTTTACATTCAAAAATAGGAAAAATAACACTGAAATATCTTAGAAGGATATTATAAAATAATTTTGAAAAGCTGTAACTTAGTACTAAAATTGGTGAGAGAACTTTTGCTTCCAGACATGATGAAGAAACAGAGACTGGATTGATTCTTATCTGAAAAAAACCAACACATGGACAAAGACATAAAAATATGTTTTGGAGGTGGACATCAGGCAAGGAAGGCAGCAATTATGGAGAGATCGGAAATGGGTGAGCTCTAGGGGAGTTTCTAAGCCTTCAGAGTTTCTAGGCCTCAGTGCAAGGAGGGCAAACCCAGGCAGAGCTTGGTGTACTGAGTTGAGGGGTTAGTGAAAAGTGTTCAGGGAGATCAAAGTAGCTCAGTACACAGGACAAAGTATTAGAGAGGAGACTGCTGTACACAGAGAACTTTGGAGATCTTTAGAGACTCCTCTTCTAGTATTACACTGAGTAAGATCAGTGCATGCACGTAAGGAACTGCTTAAGGCTGAATCAAGAATGACCAGAAAAGCCTAGGAGTGCCCTATGCTCACAGGGCATGGCCACTATTTCCATCAGCCAGGCTAGAAAATTCCAAGATTCATGGGGCATTGAGAATATACAAAACGGTCTTGCCTCCGAACAGACTGAGCACCATTCCAGTCATGCTTAACAAAGAAAAACCTGAAAGGATCAAACTGTTTCCAAATGACTCAGTGGTACCCCACAACAAAGCTCAAGAATACAGGATACAAAAATATCCATCAAAGTAAAATCCACAATGTGAGGCATACAAAACTTAACCAAGTCTGCATATAAGTGAGAAAATATATACCATAATAAGAGATAAGCCAATCAATGGAAACAAACCCAGACTGATGTAAATGTTAGAATTGGCAATGAAATTTAGAAAGTTATTAAAACTGTATTCTTTCTGTTCAAAAAATAAGAGATGTAAAAGATATAAAAAAGAATCAAATGGAATATCTAGAGATAAAGATTACAGTGTGTAAGGTGAAAAATACAATGGATGGAATTAATGGCAGATTAGACATTTCAGAAGAAAAGATTAGTAAAAGTGAAAATAAAACAATTATGAACTATCCAGAATGGATTACAGAGAGAAAAGGGAATATTAAAAAAGTAAAAACATAAAAAACAAAAAGTTAACAGAGTAGCAGTGAGTGGTGGCATTACTGAGACAGCCTAAAATACCTATAATTAGAATCCCAGGAGGAAAGGAAAGTTGATGTAGAAAGAAATGTTTGAAGAAATCATGATAAAATTTTTCCAAGTTTGAGGAAAACTATAAACACACAGATAAAGAAATTCAACAAATCCCAAGCACAAGAAACATGAACAAATGAAAATTATGGACATCATAATCAAATTCAAACCCACTGGAAAATAAAAATTCTTAAAAGCAAATAAAGATTTGGAGGATAAAGATAGGTATGACAGTAATTTTTCATTAGAAAAAAATACATGTGAAAATACAGTAGAAAAATACCTTTAAAGAATTAAATCCCAAAACTATCAACCTAGAATTAGATCAGTAATGAAAATTTCTTTCAAAAATGAAGACTAAAAAAAGACTTTTTTCAGAAATATGGAAGCTGAAAAAATTTATCAACAGCATAGCTATAAGTACACTGTAAGAAATGTTAAAGTCCTTCAGGCACAATGATACCATGTGGAAATAAAGATTTACACAAAGAAATGAGAAGTCCTGGCAAATGTGATGACATGTGTAATGTATACAATTTGTTCCTTATTATTTAAATCTCTTTAAAAGATAATTTACTGTTTAAACAAAAATAATTAGTGTAGTATGTAGTTTATAGCATAGGTAAAAGTGAAATGTATGAGCAGTAGCACAAAGGTTGGAAAAAGAGAAATGACAGCTTATCATTTTAAGATTTTCATACTACATGTTAAGGGGAATATCACTTGAATATTGCCTGTGATAAGTTGAAGACAGATGCTATAGACCCAAAAGCAACTACTAAAATAAAATAGTTATAGTTAATAAGTCAAAAATGGGATATAATATATAATCATAAAAACATTCAGTTAATCCAAAAGAAAGCAGAAAAAGAAGAAAATAGGAACAAAGGAAAAATGGAACAAGCAGGAAACAAGATGACAGATTTAAACAAAACCATATCAATAATCATATTCAGTATAAATGGTCTAAATAACCCAATAACCCAGAAATTCTCATATTAGATTAAAAAAAAATCATGACCTAAAGGAGCCATGGACATACAATGGGGAAATGACAGTCTTTTCAACACATGGTGCTGGCAAAACTGGACAGCTACATGTAAGAGAATGAAACTGGATCACTGCTAACCCCATACACAAAAGTAAACTCCAAATGGATCAAACACCTGAATGTAAGTCATGAAACCATACAACTCTTAGAAAAAAACATAGGCAAAAATCTCATTGACATAAATATGAGTGACTTCTTCATGAACATATCTCCCCAGGCAAGGGAAACAAAGGCAAAAATGAACAAGTGGGACTATGTCAAGCTAAAAAGCTTCTGTACAGCAAAGGACACCATCAATAGAACAAAAAGGTATCCTACAGTATGGGAGAACATATTCATAAATGACAGATCCGATAAAGGATTGACATCCACACCTCAACAAACAAAAAGCAAATAATCCAATTAAAAAATGGGCAGAGGAGCTGAATAGACAGTTCTCTAAAGAAGAAATCCAGATGGCCAATAGGCACATGAAAAGATGCTCCACATTGCTAATCATCAGAGAAATGCAAATTA